GCCTTCGCAGTCTTATCTGCCACGCGGCCAGAAAGGGAGATTTTAGAGACAACACAAAGTAATTGGAAAATTGCAGATTTCTACCTGGAAGCTTTTGATATTTTGCTATCAAGAAAAAGAAAAACAAATGAAGTCTATATGGTCTCTTTTTTTAATTATAAACTTATTGGGGGTATTTTTCAAGTCATGGTTGACTTTAATTATAATCTTGTTACTTTTGTTAATTTAATTAATACTCATGACTCTTTTTTCTATAATCATTTAGTACAACTGACTTAGTCGTTGGGAATTGTTTGTTTTTGGGACATTGAATTAGGGTCATAGAGGTTAAAAGTCCACACCAGTTTCTTGTACTTGAGAAATTAAAATTGGTCCTTTTCAATATAATCTGGCATCCAATATTATTTTAGGTTAAATGTTAATTTTGGTCCTCAACTTAATGTTTTAAATAATTTTTATTTTTTAACTTTTTTTTAATACTTTTTTGGTTCCTTTCCTATAAAAAATACATTTTTGTAGTTTTCTGTTAATTAATTCGTTAAGTCTATATAAATCTGCACATTTTTAGTTCTTTAACTTTAAATTGAGGGACAAAAAATATACATATATTAAAAGTTAAAAAATTAAAAATATGTAAATTCAGATAGATTTAATTGATTAATTGATATAAGAATTAAAAAAAGTACATTTTTCATAATCAAAGGATTAACAAAGGGTAAAAAAAAAAAAATTGAAGGATAAAAATTGTGTAAAATCTTAAAGTTGAAGGACCAAAATTGACAGTTAACCATTATTTTACAAGTTGCTTGAATATTCATATTTCTATAAATAACATATATAGAACCAACAATATATATTGATTGGAGTAAAAACAATTTAGTTTTTTTAAATAAAATTTCATATTTAAATCTTATAAATGAAGAAATAAATATTAAAGGAGTTTCTCTTATGGGTCCAACTCGGTTTAACTCCGAATTAATCAAGGTAATTGTGATTTTCAAATGCTAAAAGTTTAATATAAAAAAAACATCTATAACAGAATTTAGCGAATAAATAATATTTTAATTTAATCTAATTAATCACCGTCAAAACCTTGTAGAATTGCTGTAAAATAGTAGTACGGATCATTAAGATTACTTAATTAACAATCAATGCTAATCTCTACAAAGCATACTGTTGCTTGTTCACAATGATTTTCTAATTAACAAAAAACCGCACAAAAAGGGTGTTAAGTATAGCAACGTGTTTAATTAAGTTACGAATGCAATATATGCCAAAAGCCAGCATAGAATTCCGAATGGGTAACCACTACAACCTTGGGAATCGTCTAAGTCTGTGTGCATCAAAACCTTGATTACGTTGCATATAAGAAAACGAAAGCTGGGATTATCTTCAATTACTTCTGAGTCCGGGAAGATAAATTGTATCAAGCACAAAAAATATGATTTCTTTTTTTTTTTTTTTGTGGACCAAAATAAAAAAAGAATAAGAGTAATTTTTTCTTTTTGAACTTGGGAAATTAAGGGATCAGAGTTGGGATCAACATTACGTATTTATTTATTTATTTTTTAAAAAAGAGGGATAAGTTTTGATGCATTGTACCAACGTAGTCAAG